GCTGAACCAAGCCAGGGATTCAGAAAGCAGGGAAGCTCGCCCAAGATGCCCATGGAGCAATGACTCAAAGATAATTTTATTATTAGTTTTCAATGCCAAGAAACACATTACCAACAACATGATCACTGTGCAGTCTAACCTAACACTAATATTTTCAGAGCATGGTTAGCAAGGAATGAGTGGTGGTTTAGGAAGTGGTTCCTAGACGCAGACCTTCCCCAGGTCTGAAATTGGGAGGTCAGAGACCTAGCACCCCTAGCTGAGGAGCTATGGGCAACTGACAGTTACAGGGAGATGAAGAGTCAGTTTCCTGTATGGTTGCAGCTCCTGGCAGGTCAGCCATGCTTCAGTGGATGGCCACATGTTTAAGAGTGTGTGGGCAGCACTTGAGGTTTTGTTTGTTTTTGGGAATTGGGTGGGCACAGAAGCAGAGGTGCTCCTGAAAGGAGTTGGGAAAGAAGAATAAATACAATCAAAATACCGTCTACAAGATTCTCCAAGAGCTCAGACAATGCAGAAGAAAGAGAAAGAGAAGAAGGAATCAAAGTAAACGGGAGGCCACCAGCTCTGCCAGGTCTCTAGAGACTTCAGACCCGGGGCAGGGTCATTGCTTTTCTGTCTCACCTTTGTTTCCCTTCTCTCGTAATGCACCATTTCATTTTTTTGTGATGTTTTGAAGTTACACTTGATATTTTAAAGTTACATATTATATTTGATAATGTATGTCTTTTTTTTTTCTCATCCCACACGAATGGAAGTTTGGTTTGTTGTAAATTTTCCATTTCTGTAAACTTACTATCAACGCTTTGAAAATCTCATTCACTTTTGGCATCTAAGCTGTGCAATTTGTTGTTCTTTAAAAGTTGCTTCTTAAGCATTGCCTTTATTTTTAGTCTTCTGAATACTGTTGGATATAGTTTTGAAACTCTTCAAGTATCATCCACAGGTCTTAGCTGATCCTTCTATTTTAAAATAAGTTGTCTAAGCTGAACTTGAAGGTACATAAGCCTAAGCAACAAATGTTTATCACAACTCTGCCTTTTATTAATAATCACACGAAATTCCTGCCACTGCTAGGTCTGTTGTGCTTCCCTTAGATTCTCCTGGACACCCGTAGAGCGTAACCATGCTTGCTACAATTTCACTGATATCAGTTATTCACTTAAGAAAGCAAAGGCTCATTAATGTCAGTCTGAAAGATTGTCATTCCAGAAAGCTGCCGATAGACTGATGGGGAGGACCTGTACAACTCAGTCAGATCTCCCACGTCCTTCTCCGGGATCTAGTCCCACGAGTCTTCCTGACTCTCCCAATCCATTCCTTTTCCCCAGCCTGCCGAGGCCGGCTCAGGCCCCACATCCAGTGCACTAACCTTGTCTGACTACCCTTGCCCGAACAACAGCCAACTTTCATACGAGAAACCTGCAGCCATCATCATCCTAAAGAAAGCTTGTAGCGGTCCCACTGAAGTTGGAATAAGAGAGGGATGTCTCCACTCCTCACTCCTTTTAATGCTGTGCTCAAGTACTAGTTGGGGCAATAAAGCAAGAAATATTTCATAGGATACAAGTAGGGAAAGAAGTCCAACTGTCCCTATTTTTAGATGACATGATATTGCATATTATAGATCCTAAAAATTCTACCAGAAAACTTCTAGAAACAGTAAACAAATCCAGCAACATGGCAGGATACAGAATCAACTTGTACAAAAAAAAACCTTTTCTATACACCAGCAATAAGTACACAGAGAAAGAGATTACAGACATAATCCCATTCACAATAGCTTAGAAGAAAAGAAAGCATCTTAGAAATAAACTTAATCAAGGAAGTGAAAGACCGCCACAGTGAAAATGGTGAAGAAAGAGATAAAGAAAGATACTAGGAATGGAAAAACACTCCATGCATAGGGATTGATAGAATAAATACTATGAAAATGAAAATTTTACTAAAAGCTATTTACAGATTCAGTGCAACGTCAATCAAAATCCCCACCTCATTCTCACAGAATTAGAAAACACTATTCTAAAATTCACATCGAACCACAAAATACCCCAGATAGCCAAAACAATCCAAAAAGAAGAATGCTGGAAAGAGTGCAATTCCAGTTCTTCAGATATATTATAGAGTCACTGTAAAAATAAATGCACAAAAACTAACTCCAAATGGATCAAAGACTGACACATGAAACCAGAAACACTGAAACTGCTAGAAGAAAACACGGACCATGCCTTGTGTGACACAGATGTAGGACTCCCCATTTTCCCAAGGAGTAACGCCAACAGTTGACAAGTGGGACTCCATGATACTAAAAAGCTTATGCCCAGCTAAAACTGGATGAAGAGGAAGCCCACAGAGATTGAATCTTTGCCAGCTGTATACTAATGAAAGATTAATATCCAGACTATTTAAAGAACACAACAAACAAAAACAACAAAAAATGACCTGTTCAAAAACTTGGCCTTGGACTGGAACAGAGCATTCTCAAAAGAAGAAAAAGATGACTAAGAAATATCTCAAGGAATTTTAATTATACCTAGACATTATGGAAATATAAATCAAAGCAATGCTGAGATTCCAGCTTAACCCAGTCATAATGGCAAAATTCAACAAAACAATAGATAAGGAATCTGGACACAATGTGTGTGTGGGGGGTAAAGAATTCTCAAAGGGCTAAAATCTACCACGTGACCCAGCTGTGCCATTTCTTGGCATGCGCCTAAAGGACTAGACGTCCCACTCCATTGATACTTCTTAGCTATGTTCATTGCTACTCAATTCTTAATAGCTAGGAAATGGAAACAGTAGAGGATACTTTGATATTTACCTTCTTCAGTATACTGAAATGTAATTAACAAATGGTCTATTCTGGAGCACACTTCTTGGATAGTTGAGATTTGCACATACTCTTGTTTGATATTTTCTGTGTCTTCTAGATCTAGTTGGTGTACTATGTTGTCTAAGTCCTTTGCACACTTCTCATCTGCCAATGGGGATGAGAGAAGGCAGGAGATCATTGAAACCTATTATTGTCAATTTTTTCCTCTTAATTCTATTTCTGTTTCATATATTTATTTTAGTGGTTTCAATGATGATTGTGCATGTTTGTATCATTGTGTCTTGTGTCATTGACACATCTTAAAGTCTAGTTTTCTGAGCCATCCCCACTCACTTTTGGTTGTTATTTGTATGGAATATCTTCTTTCCTTTTCTATTTATTCATGCTTCTGTATCTAAAATGAGTTTCTTGTAGACAGCATATAGATGGATCATTTGTTTTAATCTGTTCTTTCAATCTCTACCTTTTGTTGTTGTTGCAGAGTTCAATGTACTTGCATTTAAGGTAATTATAGATAAGGAGGGAGCTTATTTATGTACTTTTCTTCCATGGGTTTTAGCTTTTCTCCTCTCCTTTCTTGCATATGCTCTTCCTTTGTCTTTAGTCAATTCTTACAACAAAATGCTTCAAAGTATTTCCTTTTTCTCTTGTGTATATTTTATTGATACTGTCTTTGTAGTGGTTACATTTAAATTATTAAAGTTGAAACATTTGGATTTTATTTATACTAGATAAACTTCAACAACACACAAAAGTATGCTTTTTTTCCCTATCACTTCTATGCTTGCCTCTTTGAGCTTGTTTAGATGTTTATCCTTTTGGAGAGGGATATCCATGCCACAGTGAAAATGTGGAGCTCCGTGGGCGGCTTTGCCGAGTATGCTCTTCCCTTCCACCTTTACGTGGGTTCCTGAGATTGAACTCAGGCTGCCAAGCTTGGGCATCTCATTGGCCTCCTTTCAGCTATTAAAATTAAACGTTACAATTGTATGTCTAGTGTGTTCATCAAAGTATAAGCCAATAATAACTTTAAAAATTCACTTGCTTCTTAAATTGCATATAAAAACATGGGGTTCTAAATCCAAGTTACAATATTAATGTCTTTGTCTCCTAAAAATTGTTGCTGGAGGAATGGCTCAGTGGTCTAGAATTCTGATTGCTCTTCCAGAGGACTTGGATTCAATTCCCAGCACCTACATAATGACGCACAGCCACCTGTGACAACAGTCCCAGGGAATCTGACACCTTCTTGTGACTTCAATGGTGCTCATGCACACGGTACACAGACATACACGCAGGCAAAATGCCCATACACACAAAAATAAAGTCTCAAAAATTATAGCGTTCTGTTACTGTAGAATTAATTTAGTAGTTGCTCATTTTATCCTCATGTGGCTTTGAGTTCGTGTGTAAAGTTGTCTTACTTCACTTGTAAGTGGGATCCTTCCAGCATTTCTTACAGGACAGGTCTGCTGGTAATGAGCTCCCTTGGCCTTTCCGTACCTGGGAAGCTTCAATATCCCTACCGCGACTCCAGTGTTTGCCAGATGCAGGATTCTCGGTTAGCAGGGAGCTTTTCTTTTAATCGCTTCGGTCTGTCAACCACTGAGGGTATCCTGGTTGGCGAGCCACTTTTCTTCTGCCGCCAGGGGTTCAGCCTGGTTTTGGCATTGGAGATTGACTACTTCGTGAATGAGTGAGGGCCTCTTTTCAGCTGATCCTGGGTGTTTGTTGAGCACAGATGTTTATATATCCTTCATCAGTTTTGTAATCTTTTCCTGCCACTATGTCTCTAAATATTCTCCCTGATTCTTTTATTCCTGTCCTGAGAGTCCTGCAGGCACACGCTGGTCTGCTTGACAATGTCCCATTGGTCCTGTGATCTCCATTTCTGTGGAGATCAGATCTTGTCACCCAGGCTGCCCTGGAATTCAGAACCCTAAGGTCAAAGCATTTCAGATTCTAACGCATCGCTGGAATGTATTTTAGACTAATGAAGTAGATGTATCACACTATTGCGGCAGATTTTACTAATTTAATGAGCTTTGCTCTTTGATCCGAAACATTACGAATAATGTGTAAACTTTGGGACCACTTTCCTCTTTGGTTACTCAGTCAGTGAAGAGTGGTGAGTCATAACCTGGGGCTCTACTGTGTATTACAGCTTACCACTGCCACCTTGGATGGGAAACTTCAGCTGTTTGTGGTCGAGTGACTGCTGACCTGCCAGTAAGAATACAGGAAGAAACGAGAGAGAGAATCCGTGGCTTAGCCATCGAGTCAGATGGGGCAGTTTTTATAGGGGCCTTTGCCGAATTCCCTGTCTACAGGACTCACCCTCTTCTGAGCTTCCCTCTTCTTAAGAAATCCCTCATAGAAACAGTGGAGACATGGCCCATCTGCACAGATATTCTTCAATAAAGATGACCCAGCGTCTGTCTCATGATGGTGCTTGAAGAGGAGGCAGAGAGGGATGGAGAAGAGAGGGTGGGGGCAGGCAGCAGCACTGGACACAACGGAAGCCAGCTCAGCCTCCTCTGTACTCTGTGCCTCTCTGCCCCACGCCTGCCACCGTGGCAGCCACACCTGAGGTGCAAGGTGGCAAGGATGCCATGGCCCTGTGCTGTCCACCTTTGATGCCCCTCTTTGGTCTCTTCAGGATGAACAAGGCCCAGGGGACAGAAGATGGACAGCCGTACTCGGTCTGGTCGTCTCAGTCTCTAATGAGAGGTTCTTATGATTGCTTTGGTATTTGAAAGATAAAATGATTCATATTCTGGGGAATATGTCATGGGTTTGCTCAACATTGGCACATCCCTGTTGTTTGAAGACATCAAAGCAAGAATGTGGTCGTGGTCCCAAGCCTGGCCACAGAGGGATTTGGCCCAGGCCTTCTGGAATAAGCAATTTTTGTTCATTTTTCCCATTCCCCTGAAAGGCTTTCTTTGCAGATGTGGGCCTCATTCTTTTCACCCAGTTTAAACAGACTACTCTGCTTTCCAGGCCTGTTTTGGGAGGGAGCTGGCCTTTCCTGTGTAGCGTGGCCTTTTTGTAACAGGTGTCTGTGGGTCTCGGGCGCACACAGGCCACAAGCAACAGCCGCCCCCCAGACGCTCATTCTTGATACGATGATGAAACTGAACTATTGACACGTTGGTGCCTGACCACAGAAACCTCTCGTGTGAATGTGTTCTTCAAAAGAAAAGTAGTAACCCTAAAACCGTGCTTTCACCCCCCTTATTCTTTTATCCTTCGTGACTTTTACTTTCTTTTTTATTACTGACCAAAGTTTGCTCATATTCTAATTAGGACCAACTTACTTGGGTTTGTTTCTTCTGTGCATTTCCTCCGTTATTATGCCCATGGCATTAGCTTCACAGTGCTCTGCACTCTGAGCTCATGGGAGCTGTCAGCACCAGAGAGGCTGAGAAGCTCCATAAACCATAGGGGGCTTTTTTTTTTTGGTGGAATTTGGTGACAGTTTATGGTAGCTGTTGAGGCTCTTAGTCCCTTGGGGCATGAGGCCTCAAGTTATCTCCCACTTACTGATACCTAAGTCTTACTAACCTACTACTGCATGCACTTGAATTCGTAAAGAGCATGCTTAGACAGTTGATAGTTCAGTTCCCCCTATTATCTTGTTGGTGATGACATCATAGGTCTTAGAAGGACAAGAACTGAATGGAAATAGCACAGGTAGCTCAGAAGAGAAATGATACAGGTTTGATGGCACAGGTAGCTCAGAAGAGAAATGATACAGGTTTGATGGCACAGGTAGCTCAGAAGAGATGATACAAGGGGGCTATCTGCAGTTTTTGAAGTTGAAAAACATGAGTGGAAAAGATGGTCACTCACGTGGAGACAACCAAAGCAAGAAGGAGGTGAAACAGACAGTGAAGACAGGGACAAGATGGCTGTACCTGGGTCTAGACCAGGGAGTCTGGGGACAGCATACAGCCATCTGACATTGATTATTTTATGACTCTTGATTTGTTTTTAAAAACTACATTCATAGAAATGTTGCATTCTCCCTTTGGGTCTTGGAAAAGAGGGTCAACTTAACCTTCTAAACATGAACCGAGGGGACCTGGCATTCACTGCACTGGTGCTATGCAGCCTCCCAGACAATCCCACCCAGGTCGGCACCAGCTAGTCCCCAGCGTACAGAGGGCTGGGGCAGAAAGCATCTTTCTCATGAGGGCCAGCAGCTCTTCTGTCCTTTGCCTGGCATGCGGGGTGGGATCAGAGACGACAAGCCACAACCCTAGAGTCTGCACATGTGATTGTAGTGTCCCGCAGAGAACAGCCATGATTCCTACAGAGCCTGGACCTTTGAAATCACAAGGCCCGTTGACATTTGAATTACGATAGGAGCTGTTTACAAGAGGGACTTCAAGTTGAGTTGCCATGTGTCTGCACTGCAACAGCTGGGGCTCCACCCTCCCCCAGTAGAGTAGTGTGCCTAAGACTCTGCCCCTCCCCCGCCTTTGTGAGCACTTGGTTTCCTGGAGGAGCCACCCATCACTTCAGACTGGTGTCAAGGACCACCGCTCTGATTTTTCTCTAAGAGTACAAAAGAGGAAGATGCTGCTGAGTGTAAACTCTGGAAGAAAGGTGTTAAGAGAAAATACCCCATCTTCAATAAAATGTATTGATGCAAATGCAAATTTAAATGACTGGGTTCTATCTACCCCAAACACTGAAACACTGTTTCAACTTCCAACTAGGCAATGGCCACCTCTTTCTCACTCAACTGTGTTCAAATGCCATGCGGATAATCTCGTGGTTTGAGTCTGAAGTATCTCCACAAGATAATGCTTTGAATACTTGTCCCGGGTTGGAAGCTCTATTTGGGAGGAATGTAAAACCTTCAGGAGATAGGGCTGGCTCTCTGGTTACTGGTCAGAGTGCTGCCTAGTTTTATGTCAACTTGACACAAGCTAGAGTCATCTGAAAGGAGGGACCCTCAGTTGACAAGATGCCCTCATAAGATCCAGCTGTGAGGCATTTTCTTAATTAGTGATCAATAGGGGAGAGCCCAGTCCATGGTGGGTGGTACCATCCCTGAGCTGATGTGGTCCTGGGTTCTGTAAGAAAGCAGGCTGAGCAAGCCATGGGGAGCAAGCCGGTAAGCAACACCTTCCATGGCCTCTGCATCAGCCCCTGCCTCCAGATTCCTGCCCTGTGGGAGTTTCTGCCCTCACTGCTTTTATTGATGAACTGGTATGTGGAACTCTGAGCAAAATAAATGCTTCCCTCTACAAGATGCTTTCATCACAACACTAGTAACCCCAGTTAAGGTCAGACTTCTAGGCCCTAGGGTGAACACTTTCCATCACAACACTAGTAACTGCAACTAAGACAGTCAGGCTTCTAGACCCTAGAGTGAATACTTTGTTGCTGAGACTGTGTGACCAAGAGATCATTGTTTCCACACTTTCTGAAAGTCCACTTACTGGGTTGCAACATTAGTAATCCCAACTAAGACAGTCAGGCCTCTAGGCCCTAGGGTGAACACTTTCCATCACAACACTAGTGAGCTTTCTCGGGAACTCCCTGGAATGTGTCCAGAGCCTTTGTGTGTGTTGTCCTTTGTGTTAGGCAGCAAGTGGACTGGAAGCAGGGGAGAAAACAAGTGGCTTCTATAGAGGGGTGAGTGACCTTCAGAGTGCAGTAAACTGCAGAAGCTGGCTACTATCTGTCTGGTCTGTGCAAGGCGTGCCTTTCCCATCCTTGTCCCTGCCTGACAGCTGCCAGTACCAAACACTCATCACAAGCTGCCTTACAAGCTGAAGCCTTTGCAACAATACAAGCTGTAGCCAAACTCGTCTACTGATGGACCAGAAGTCTCCAGCCTATGCTTTCACTCCCGCTGTCTGAAGCTAAGGTGGTCTCCGGCATGGGTTATGAAGTCACGAGGAAATAGGAGGAGTAGGTGTTTGGGGGATGGACATGAGCTTCCCTGGTCCTTCATTGTGCTGTGGCCTCTGAAGGAGGCCCCGTGCCCCAGCCTACCCTAGATAAACTGCCATGCATTGCCTCTGGGGCAACCTTCCATGTCTGTTTGTGCTCTGGCTTCTCATGTGTTTTCCCTTGCATGGCAGGAGAGCAGTTGGATTCATTGGTCTGCACCCTCCTTCTTAAGGAGATCATTTCTGCAGTGTTTTTAAAATGAGGACAGGGCACCACCAGGCCGTCAGAGGTCACCCTAGCAATTCCTTTGCTGTCCATGGTAATTTCTCAGACAGAGAATGCTGCTTAATTAGTGCAGGTCAACAGCGGGTTCACTCACAATCTGGCACTGAGAAATTTTGGCAGCCAGTTGTGTATGAAGCACAGGGTTGAATAATTCTGTCTGCAGGGACAGGCTCCAGGCTTCTTTTGAAACCTAAAAAGGACCCTTGCTTGGCATTTTGAGATCTTCCCAATGCTTTGTGTTTTACTTCCTTACACAATTGTAGAACACAAAGACTAAAGGAACAAGCTTCCCCCTTGCACCTATAGTCAGTCCCAACTCTCTGGTGCTACCTAGAGGTGTGGTGTGTCTGCACCCAAGCCTTGACCCAGCCCACCCCCAAAAAACACGCTCCTCCCCAGGGAGATCCGATCCCGAGCTGTGGGCTCCTCTACCCCCTGATCATAATGCTAAGCCACATGACTTCTTTCTACTCCCTGGACATCCAGGACATTCTGTAGCTCATTAGCTCAAGTCCTTCCACTTCCCAGAAGGACATCTCCCCCCCTCTCCTTCCCCCTCCCCACACCTTCAAACACCACCATGCTGTCCACCATAGTGCCCCCGTAGCCGCCTCAGTCTGTGACTGGGATTTTTCCCCCAGTTTCCCACCAGCCTGTGAACCCTGGCAAGGTGCCCAAGGCCATGACTCCTGTGTCCCCAGCTCCCTGCTGGGCTGGAGCATGCCAACTGGGGGCTCGTGCCCCGAGTTTCCTCCCCACAGTGCCTCATGCACAGGGAACGTCAGAGTCCTTGTCTGCTTCATCCTGTAAGTAGCAGAGCTAGCTCCCTAAGTGGTCACCACGAAGCTGGGTTTCTGCCCACCCACCGAGCACTTCCTGGCTCCCATCCAAAGGAAGAAGATCTGGGGCTCAGGCCTGTCACCTCCAGCTTCTGGGTTGCACGGGAGCACTTGTGGCCAGAGCCACCAGACTCCTGCAGTGAGAGACCACCCAAAACTGGGCAGGTGCTCCCACTGACATAAAGCCTGTCTGCACATTTCACAATTCTGTGCCACACTGGAGTTCTAGACTAATCCAGAGGAAGCGTTCCGTGGCAGTGGCTGCCCTTGTTTTCAGTTTTCCATTCACAATGATTTGATAGTGTCATCCAGGATTTATGCCATACAAGAAGCCTGCCATTTCATACTGGCTACCCATTCAGTTCTCCCCAAACCCTGACTTATCAATTATTAATCCCATTTCACAGTTACAGAGACCAAAGCTTTTGCTTATGGTCTAGTTGCTAGTGCTGGACCAGAAACTGCTCTTCAGAAGTCGGGCCCAGGGACAAGGCTCATGATCACTGCTTAGCAGGGAAGGCCTAGGGAAGCCTCCCAGGCACTGATGGACTCTGCCGCAGAGAGAGACTGAAGCCCAGAAGAGACCTTCCTTCTTCCAGAAAGATGCAAGCAACTGAGTTAGAAAACTTAAGAAACATGTCTACAGCTGTCATTCATAAGGGACCAGGTCACACCCTTTTATGGCCAGCTTCCTGGTTTCCTCTCATCCAGGAATGAATGCGTGGGCATTTACTTTTGAATAAGACACTACTTGTAGAAGAAAGTTTCTGTCCTGCCAGGTCCTGCCACCCTTTAGCCCCAAATAAGCACACAAGACATATTAGTCATTAAACTGTCGGGTGATGTCTCAAGCTTCTTACTGGCTAGCTCTGTCTTATTTATTAACCCATTTCTATTAATCTGTGCATCGACACGAGGCTGTGGCTTCCCTGCAATCTAGCATGTTAGTCCTGGGGCAGCATGGCATCTCTTTGAGGCCTCTCTCTGCCTTCCTTTCCCCAGCTTTCTCCTGGTCTGGTCACCCTGCCTATCTTTCTGCCTGGCTACTGGTCAATCAGTGTTTTATTCATCAACCAATCAGAGAAACGTATATCCAGAAAGACATTTCCTTATCAAATACTAGAACACAAGGCAGGCTTGGGGGCCACCTGCTGTCTGGGGATGCACAGCCACGAGTGGGTCTGCAGCCTGGGTGCTGTGTCTCTGGTTCGTAGCTTGGGTCGTCTGGGGTCTGTGATATGGGAGTCTGCAATACCAATGCCCATGACAACGCTCCCACTCACACAGAGATAGATATGCGCTGGGAACTAGAACTGGTGTATTCTTAAAGAAGTTTGTCTTAGTCACTGTTCCCGCTGCTGTGAAAAGACACCATGACCAACCTAAGTCTTTTAAGGGAAAGCATTTAATTGGGGCTGGCTTACAGTTTCAGAGGTTCAGTCCATTATCATCATGGCGAGAAGCATGGTGGCATGCAGTCACGTGCTGGAACAGTGGCTAAGTGTGTTAATTCCTGATACGTGCACACACACACACACACACACACACACACATACACAGAGGACAGAGACAGGGACAGAGACAGAGATAGAGACACTGGGCCTGGCGTGAACTTTTGAAACCTCAAAGCTTACTCCCAATGACACGCCTCCTCCAAGGCCACACCTCTTAACCCTTTCAAATACTGCCACTTCCTGGCAACTAAGCCTCCAAATATATGAACCTAGGGGCCATTCTTATTCAAGCCACCACAGAACTAATCATTACTGATGCACGAGGGCTGAGGCGACAGCAGGAAGGCAGCCTGTGAGGTTCGTTGTGCAGTTAGACATTTGCTCAACCCGTTCATTTCATTGTGAGCCTCACTCACGGAAGCTCCAACTCCAGCAGGAGCCAGGGCCAGTGGTTGAGCGGTGTATGCGCGCTCTGCTATGCCCCAGTCTGGATGTGGCCGTGCCAAGAATCCCCATCCCACACAATCACCAACCCTTGTTGGTAATGAAGTTGGGCCTCAAGAGTCCCATCCAACTCCACTTGTGACATTACAAGGCCAGAAGACCCCGAGACTACTGCCCTCTGTACTTGCAAGGACGAACTCCGAGTCATCATGGAGGCTTCCTCCAATGCTGTGGAGCATTGAGGCTACAGGGATGTCTTCTACTATGTGTCCTTGGAATGTTGAGCTATATTCCGATTCTAACCTCCGTGGGCACTGATGCAGTGTGTACCTTCTGGATGGGAGGGGGAGAGAGTACCCTGCTCTCCTGAAGTCTGAGGGTCAGAGGTTCCATAGCACAACTACACTCTTAAACACCAGGAGGGACTGCCACTGAAAGTGTATAACGCGAGTAGGAATAATCTACCAGCTCACAATGGTCAATAAAGTTGAGAAACTCTTTTGGCATGAAGTTGTACGCTAGCCTCTGCTGACACCCATGTATAGAGCTCGTGGCAACTGTGGCAGAGATGGCTTAGTGAGACTTAGAGAGGATGACCCTCAGAGATGTCCCGAAAGGCCAGAATCTTGCCTCATCCTCAGATGTCTTTGAGAGTGGCCCTAGATATGGGTCTGATGAAGATACCATGTTCCAAGAGAAAGTAACACTGAACCAGAGACACCGAAAATCCTG